AAGCTGCTTATTGTCTCGAGTCCCGTGGATATCTTGACCTATGTGGCTTGGAAAATCAGTGGCTTTCCCAAAAACCGAGTTACTGGAAGTGGTTGCAATCTGGATTTAGCTTGGTTCCTTTACCTGATGGGAGAAAGGCTGGGAGTTCACCCACTGAGCTATCATGGGTGGATCCTGGCAGAGCATGGCGACTCCAGTGTGCCTGGGTGGAGTGGTGTGAATGTTGCCGACGTCTCTCTGAAGTCTCTGAACCCAGAACTGGGCACTGATGAGGACAAGGAGCAGCAAAAGGAGGTTCACAAGCAGGTGGTTGACAGTGCTTATGAGGTGATCAAGCTGAAAGGTTACATATCCTGGGCCATTGGCCTCTCGGTGGCAGACTTGGCTAAGAGCATAATGAAGAACCTTAGGTGGGTGCATCCCATTTTTACCATGATTAAGGGTCTCTATGGAATCAATGATGGTGTCTTCCTCAGTGTCCCTTGTATCCTGGGACAAAATGGAATCTCAGATGTTGTGAAAGTGACTCTGACTCCTGAAGAGGAAGCCTACCTGAAGAAGAGTGCAGATACCTTCTGGGGAATCCAGAAGCTTCACTGTCCAGGCTGCAGCAGGGTTTCTATGGAGACCAAACACTGTCTCCTTCTCATCTGAGCTGTGGTTAGTGCAGTTGTGTTAAGGTGGTCTAAAGGGAAATCTTCAGTTCCCACAGCTCTACCCTGCTGCCAAGTGGTACTTGTGTAGTGGTAACCTGGTTAGTGTGACAGTCCCACTGTCTCCAAGACACACTGCCAACTGTGTACAGGCTTCCATTAACCTGTGAGCCTGCTGCGTTGCTGCCCTGCGCACTCTCACCAAACATGCCTAGGCAAACGAGTTCCCAGTTAGCCATAACCAGGCTCCAGTGTGTAAGTCCATTTTGCATATCCTGTGCATAAATGTTCTACAGAATATTTTATGTATTATATGTGTCTGTACTGTATATAGCAATATTATGTGAAGTGTAAGATTTGCATATGGATGATGGAACCAACCACTCAAATGTCATGCCAAGGAAAACACCAAATAAACCTTGAACAATGGGGAACAATCCAGAAGAAGGAAAGGAAGAGGAAGAAGAAGAAACAGGAAAACAGGGAGAAGAGACCAAATAGTAGAACAACACCAAATATATCAATAATTGTACCAAGTAAAAAAGGTCTACATATACCAACAAAAATGCAGATTATTAGAAGGATGAGAAATTATATACTATATGCTAAGAGAAAAAGTCACTCCAAATATAATGATACAGGCAGCTCAAAAGCAAGTGGGTGGATTCCCCCCCCCGCTCTTTATGGCAGAGGCAATCTACTATATACATAGGCATAACGTATAACATATATGTCTATGTATAGGCATATACATAGACATATACACAGGCAAACACTAATATACATAAAACAAAAATAAAATTTTAAATGGAAGATGGTGAAGAGGTGGAGGTGTACTCAGTGGTTGAGAACATTCCTAGTATACAGAAGGCCTTAACACCACATGCAGGCACACAAAAGTAAGAGGCTGAAAATATAATGAAAAGATATAAATATGAATCAAAAGAAAATTTGGCAAATTGGACTTTAGAGCAAAAGCATCACCAGGGATCAAGAGGTGTAAATATTGAAGAAGAGTCAATTCATTAAGAAGATATACAATTTAGAAGCATTTGAGCCTAATGGCAGAGTGCCAAAATCCACAAATCAAAAATCATCCTATCAAGTAAAGAAATAGGCAAATGAAAAGTTATAGTTGTAGTTTCCTGTTTCTTCCTGGGTTAGAAGAATTAGCAGACAGAATCATGGAAATAGCAGGGCCTGGGGAGATGCCTCAGTCAATAATGTGCCATCAAGCTTGAAGACTTAAATTTGGATCCCTGGCAACAGGTGGAAATTGAGTGAGGCAGTACATCTTACCTTGTTAATGTCAATGATGGGGGTGCAGAGACAGGTAGATCCCTGGAGCTCATTGGCCAGCTAGCCTAGTGAATTGATGGTTTAGTGAAAGGCCCTGTCTCAAATAATAAGTGGAGTAAGAGCAAGGAAGACAGTTGAAATTTTGATCACAGGCTTCCACAGGCACATGTATGTGCTTTTGCATACATATGTGAACACATGAACACACATCTGATGTGAGGGGGGGAGACAGAGACAGACAGAGACAGAGAAACACAGAAGAACCTCCTAAATCTAATGGACACTTACAGAACATTCTACCCCAAACAGAACAAACATTTTTCTCAAATGCATATAGATCAGTGAGATAGTCTATAACCTAGCTCATAAATCCAACTTCAATGAATTTCAAATTGAAACCCATGTATCTCTGAATCTCTGTCCATGAGAAAATGAAACCTGAAATCAGTATCACAGACTGTAACAGTAAACTCTCTGAGCATTTGGAAGTTAAACAACATACTCCAGGGCTGGTGAGATGGTTCAGCTGGACTTGCCAGTGAGTCTAACAACCTAGAAATTTACAAATATTTAGAATCAAACAAAAATAAACAGGTCTGTAGTCCTAGCTACTTAGGATACTGAAACAGTAGGAGCCCTTGAGCTATGATAATTTAGGGCAGTTTTGGCAAATTACTAAGCTCTATATTATTATTATTATTATTATTATTATTATTATTATTGGTTTTTCGAGACAGGGTTTCTCTGTATAGCCCGAGCTGTCCTGGAACTCACTCTGTAGAGCAGGCTGGCCTCTGTAGGCACCAGGCATTTAAGTGATTTATAGAGATACATGCAGGAAATAAACTCATAAAAAATGTTAAAAAGCTAATATATTTGTATTTCTTTTCTTTTTTTGTGGTTTTTCAAGACAGGGTTTCTCTGTGTAGCCCTGGCTGTCCTGGAACTCACTCTGTAGAGCAGGCTGGCCTCGAACTCAGAAATCCACCTGCCTCTGCCTCCCAAGTGCGGGGATTAAAGGCGTGCGCCACCACTGCCCAGCACTAAGCTATATCTTAAAACAACTCTAGGTTCAAATTGTTTCACTGGTTAATTTTGTTAAATATTTATAAAAATAAGCAACAGTGATTGTATATAAACTTTTCCAGATATACGCAAGATCTATGTGGTTAAACCTATGAAGCAGTAATGAAAGACATTGAATAATTAGGAAGACATGCCATGTTCATGTGTTGGAAGCCTGAAAAGACTAAAGAGAATGGGATGTTTAGTCTCTTGACAGAACTTAGACTAACCTAGGAAACAGGCCTCTGGGAACCTGTATGAGGGTGTTGCTCACTGAAGAACAACCCACCATGAATGTAGGTGGAGCGATTCCATAGTCTGGGGTCCTAGACTGAACACAAAGGAGAAACTGAGTAAAGCACCAGAATTCTTCATCTCTTGGGTCCCAGACAGCAGATGCAATATGGCCCACATGCTGGCTTTTCCATCTGAGCCTGCCCTCCAGCCATGCCTTCCCCTCCTTGATGAACCAACTGTACTTGCTGACTCTGAGGCAAAGTACATAACTTTGTTTTGTAAGATATTTTGTCACAGCAACAAAAAGTCACTAATACAGGAGCTGATTCTCTCAAATTATTCTACAAATTTTAAAGGAATTCCAATTGACATTAGAATGTGTTTTATTCAATTTAAAATTTAAATTCTTAAATTAAAAATTTTAAGAATTTATCAATGGGATAATGCACATTTCAGTTCTCCACCACATGTTTCATATGAGTCTAAATTCAATTCCCGGAATCCAAATATGAGTAAAATAAAAAAATATTATTGAAGGCCAAACTAACATAACTAAAACTATTCTGAAGTTTGAAGCTGGTAGTGGTAGCTCAAGTTTGTAATCCCAACATTCTAGAGGCTGAAACAGAAGGAGCTCAAGGCTAGCTTGGATGACAGAGTGACATTTTATTAAAAAAACAAAACAAAACAAAGCGGCCGGGTGGTGGTGGTGCACACCTTTAATCCCAGCACTTGGGAGGCAGAGGCAGGTGGATTTCTGAGTTTGAGGCCAGCCTGGTCTACAGAGTGAGTTCCAGGACAGCCAGGGCTACACAGAGAAACCCTGTCTCAAAAAAAACAAAACAAAAAAAGCAATAAAAACAATAAATTTGGAGAAATCACACTTTCCAGTTTTGTGTGTGTGTGTGTGTGTCTGTACTGGGGACTGAACCCAGAACTTTATGCATGGGGGGCAAGCCCTTCACTGAGCTATACCTCCAGCCTGGCACTACCCAATTTTAAGGTCCATTGAAATTGAACGGGAGAGAAAGCAGCTCAGTGATATTCTGGGGATGGGGCACAAGCATGCTGAAAGGCATAAGAAAAGAATGATAGGTGGACACCGGAAGTGTTTGTGCATAGTGTAGATTCATTTTGTATGTAGTTGATATGAATATATAGGATACACATATGAATATATGACAACTTTGTATCCTTTAACTATGATCAGATTAATTATAGTACCAACAATATTGCTTTAAAAATTATTTCCAAGATAGGAATGGTGGCTCACGTCTGTAATCTTAGCACCTGGGAAATGGAGGCAGGAGACTCAGGAGTTCAAGGCAAGGCCAGCCTCACCTACATAGCAAGCTCAAAATCAACCTGAGATACACGAGAGAACCCTCATCTCAAAAAAGGAAGTGAAGGAAGAGAAGGAGGAAGAGAAAGCAGCAGCAGCAGCAGCAGCAGCAGCAGCAGCAGCAGCAGCAGCAG